GCAGGAAAGAGCTCATTTGGAAGCCAGAATATGACTTTAGGTCAAGATGGAAAGCGTATTTTCTAGACCAAATTCAGTTTTAGAGGGCACAGTTCCACTAATTCAAGGGAATAATTTAGGGCTGAATCTAGTCCATCATGGAAAATCAGGCAGAAAACACAGTAAGTCTCCTCCCTGAGATGTTGCATTTGTTAAAGCTGGGCACAAGGGAGACTGTGCTTCTGAGTATTACATGAGGGAAAGGAAACTTCTGGAGTTTCAAAAAAGAAAGCAGAACAAACAGGTTTCTTCTAGTGCTTAAAAAGTCTTCATGAATTTTATATATGAGAGATCTCAGGATACCCAATGAACCTAGAGTTCATGCATAATGCACAATATTTCAAAGGCATGTAAAATGGAGCAAGAATCGGGTGCCTTTCGTGTATATACAGGATACTTTATTTAAGTAAGATGGTGAGCTCTAGGTATCCAGAGGCTGAAAATGATGCCATCTTATTGGGTTTCATAGATTTCATAGACATTAGGGATGGAAGGGACCTCGGAAGATCATCGAGTTCAGCCCCCTGCCCAAAGGGCAGGAAGTCAGCTGGGGTCATAGGATCCCAGCAAGATAAGCATCCAGTTTCATCTTGAAGGTGTTCAGTGAAGGCGCTTGAACCACCTCCGGTGGCAGGCTGTTCCAGACCTTGGGGGCTCGGACAGTAAAGAAATTCTTCCTTATGTCCAGCCTGAAACGATCTTGAAGTAGTTTGTGACCATTCGACCTCGTCATCCCTTGGGGCGCTCTGGTGAACAAACGTTCCCCCAGATACTGGTGGTCACCCCTGATAAACTTGTAGGTGGCCATCAGATCACCCCTGAGCCTGCGCTTTTCCAGGCTAAAGAGCCCCAGGGCTCTCAGCCTGTCATCGTAGGGTCTGCTTCCCTGACCTCTGATCATGCGCGTGGCTCTTCTCTAGACTCTCTCAAGCTTCTCCACATCCTTTTTGAATTGTGGAGCCCAAAACTGGACACAGTACTCCAGCTGCGGCCTCACCAAGGCAGAGTACAAGGGGAGAATGACGTCCCGGGATTTGCTTGAGAAGCATCTATGGATGCAAGCCAGCATTTTGGTCGCTTTACTAGCCGCCGCATTGCATTGCAGGCTCATGTTCATCTTGTGGTCAAAGATGACCCCCAAGTCTCTTTCTTCCATAGTGCTAGCCAACATAGCACTGCCGAGCCTATAAGGATGCTGCGGGTTTTTTTTCCCAAGGTGGAGAACCTTGCATTTATCGGCGTTGAACACCATCAGATTCTCGTCCGCCCACTTGCTGAGCCTGTCCAGGTCAGCCTGGATAACCTGCCTGTCTTCTGGTGTGGATGCTTTGCCCCAAAGTTTGGTGTCATCGGCGAACTTGGCCAGTCCGCTTCTGACTTCAGTGTCCACATCATTAATGAAGATGTTGAACAGTATGGGTCCAAGGACAGAGCCTTGGGGGACCCCACTGGTCACAGGACACCACGATGAGTGACTTCCATCAATTACTACCCTCTGGATCCGACCACGGAGCCAATTTTCCAGCCAGTGGGTCGTGGAGGACCCAAGGCGACAATTGGCCAGTTTCTCCAAGAGGCGATCATGGGACACCAGATCGAAGGCTTTTTTGAAGTCAAGATATATGACATCAACCTCTTCTCCCTTGTCCAGGTGATAGGTCACCTGGTCGTAGAAGGAAATGAGATTGGTCAAGCAAGACCTACCCGCAACAAACCCATGCTGGCTATCCCTTAAGATGTTGGCGTCGGCCAGTCCATTAAGGATGGCCTCTTTAATAAACTTTTCTAAGATCTTCCCCGGGATAAGAACCCGGGTTGGAGAAGGTCTCTTCACTTCGTATGTCCACAAAAATGAAATGGATCCAGTTCATATGAAGTTGTGTAGAATCCATCCATTCTTGAAGGATTATTTTAACAGCTAAGGTTAGCAGTGTATATACTAGTGTTTGTTTTTGTTTTTTTTTTCTCTAAATATCTGCATGCACTATTAAGTTTGCATACTCAGCTGATTTAAAGCTAATTAATGACATACTTAAAACTAATTTTAACTTAGCTATTCTTTGAGTGATGTCACTTGCTTGGCTCTAAAATTATGGAGCTAAAGGTCCTGGAACCAAAACGTACGTAAGTAAGGCAGTAGTTGTTAGGCCTGTGAGAAACGGCTAGTATTCACTTCAGATTTTAATTCAGGCCGATTCGGGGGACAGTGATTTGATTTTGTGATTCGAATCACTGTCCTGATTTGATTTGGCCGAATCTGATTTGGAGATTTGGCTGCTGCCAAATCTCTGAATCTCCGAATCAGCCAGGCCAGGCCCATCCCGCACCCACCCCAGATCCCGGCACTCGTTAAAAAAATAAGCCCCAACTCGGCAGGTGCTGCCGGGCAGGGGGTGATCCCCGCTGCCCCCTACAGCCCCATGCTTAATGGGTGGCTCCGCACCAGCCCCCTGACTGCCCCCTTGTTTCCCCAGCCCCTGCAAGTGTGCCCCATCTGGACCAGCCCTTTAGGAAAAAAAAAAAGAGAAAAGCCCCGCACTCATGGTTCCTGCTGGTGGGGGGACAATCCCTGCTGCCCCCCGCTGCCACCCTCCATGTGAGGGGTTCTGCAGAAGCCCTGCAAATCCCCAGGCTGCTGCAGGAGAGGTGAGTCCTGGGGGTTTTCTTGGGTTCTTTTTTCTTAAAGGGCTGGAGCTGGCCTGGGTAGGGCACTGTGGGGAGGCTGGGGGAGTGGGAGGAGGGTCACAGGGCTTGTGGCAGAGCCCTCCATGTAGTGTGGAGCAGTGGGGATCGCCCCCCCACCCAGTCACACCGGGGCTTTTTTTAAAAGTACAGAGCTGGGGTGGGTGGGGGCAGC